TCGCAATGGTCAATTAGCATAGTTGTAGTTCATCGTTGCTCTGATTCTTAAAAATCAAAATTCCAGCCTCCAAACTTTCTACTAGCAGTGCGCAAAAAAGAGAAACATACGACAATGGAAGAATTGAAGAGAAGGAAAAAAAATACATGAAACGAGGAACAATCTGCATACACAGTTCGAAGTAACATTAACGAGCCGGGTTAACCCAGTGCGCAGAGGGTTCGCGACAGAAACCAATACCATGAAATATCTGGGAACTTTACAGCAACCGGAAGCCACCGCGAATTGTTTCACCGGAACTTCGCCGAACGACGTACATGTGCAGCTGCGAATTGCTGTTCCTAAAGCTACCAGAATCCAATTTAATGTCGCCCTACGTTCAACCGCGTTCGCCTCCCGGCATATTTTAATTCTTCGCATTGTCTACCTTGCATGGACCGACTCGCTATCGACGACTTAATAAGTTAAACGCGTTCGTCAGTTGTTTCGTTCCTCGGCTATCTTCTGCTTCGACGAAATCGTATTCGAAATCCCTGTTGGCTGCGATCGATTCGAAATCCGTGTAGTTTATTTCAAACTAGTCGAGAGGTTTTGATAGGAAACTTTCTCAGAGATATTTGAATGACCGAAGATGTTTAAAGTGTTCAATGATATGTAGGTCACTGATAAATTTTCGCTGGAATTTCATTACGTAGTCAAACAGACACCTTTTTGACTTTAAAATAGCCGAGCGAGGAAAGATGAAACTGAATGTTAATTTTGCTGAATTATCATTTTCCATAAATTCTATCCTGGAATCCAAGATATACGCGAAACTAGTGGATTGAATAAAAGAAAATGAAAATGTAATAAATAAAAGATTCTTTGTTAGATATTTTTCGTTCCCAGCAAATCGACCAGTATCGTAGAAACAATAGCTTGACCAAACAGGATCGAACAAAGGATACGATGCAGGATCTAAAACGCCAGTAGCGGATATGGAATGGTATAGAAGAGATGTAAGTAAATGGATGGTTTCTACGAAACGGTGAGCACATCTCCGCGAGAAGAGTAAGTACATAAACTCTCGCTCCACTTCCCATTCATTGCTCTCATTATCAGCCACGCTGTCTCCCCTTTCGTCCTATATCACTTCTGTCTCGTATATATCACGGCTGTGTGCTCGAATACCAACTTCCTGCGAATTTACGTACCAAAACCAGACCCGTACACGAAAACGTACCACGGTACAACTACGGCATACGTATTTCGTAAATATTGAAATCAAAACAAAACTAAAAGTACTGAATGAAGAACACGTAATATGCAATAATAGAACGTTAATTGTAAATTTTAATAAGCATCTAAGCACAAGTGTGACTTCCTTCAATGTTCTTTCTAGCAACAATCTCAGCAAAACTAAAGGTACCACGAATTTGGTTCCCTTGGCAAGCGGTGTCCCATTAAAATCAACCCTTTTCGCGAATTCCCGGCAAAACGTTGCACCTTTAGATGGGCGGCTTTGCAGCGGAGAAAGGTAAAAAAGCGAGGGTGGGAATATAAAATGTACATACATCGGTATGCATAAAAGCTTTGCGAGTTAGCAGGGCAAGCGAATCACCGACCCATAAATCATCCTTGACCCTATCCCTCTTCCTCTGCTTTGCTCCTTGTCTTTGGTTACGAAACGCCTGCACCGCAGAAATTGAAAACTATAGGCTTCGTTGGCAGGCCTCTTGCACGCTCGCTCGCTCGCGTATCGTCTTACGGGCCTGACGGAGGCAGAAAAGTTTTTCGCGGTCGTCTCGGGACGCTGAAAAGCCCTGCATCTGAACCCGTGGCTCGTTGCTGCTCGCGAAACCGGCAACCAAACCCACCGATTTGTAAATAACTTCGAAACGAAGATAAAGAGGGGCGAATTTAATTGCGACCATTCAACGCGACTTCGCGACCGGAAGCTTTTCTAAGGTGAACCGTGTAATTAACTGAGCAAGGAGGTTACACGAACAGAGGAAACGAGGTCGAGGAACGGTATGAATATTACTCGTACGAGTGATTATTTCATATCTGACAAGGAAATGATCACCGGTGATTCACGTTATGAATTCAATTTAGTGGAATATTTGAAGAACGTGGAAACGAATCGGGTTTGCATTTATCAGTTCGATGCAAAGGGAAAGAAAGAAAAAAGTCAACAGACTGCCACGGTAAAGTGGGAAATATTAAATGAAGCGGTCGAAGCATCGCGATAGGTCATTGCGAACAATACCACGTTTCGGTCGGTTGCCAAAAATTTTTGGAGCACGCTACTTTGTCCCGCAAACGAGAGGAGCTTCAATGCGGAATCGTACCTGCATTTCCATTCTTTCCTACTTCGCAAAGTGTTCCAAACATTATTCTTTTTCGTTCGCTTCACGAGTGTTTGTTCGTTCCCAAAAATGAAATGATCAAATTTAGATAATAGTGAAAAGTATGATAAATTTGTTAATATAGATTCATCGTTCCGATGGAATTAACGATAATCATATAATTCCGAGTAGCTTTAGTAAGGTAAAAATGTTCATCTGTAAGACGTGAAGCGGTTTTAAAACTCTTTCTATCGATCGGACACGCATGCACCGGGGGATGCAGTGCTTGCTGGCACGTGCTACGAAAGAGTACTCATCTTCAGTATATCCCCACGAGAGGGCAACGAGCATTCAGGATTACGAAAAGTCCTCTTTCAACTATCAGATTCGTTTTCCATTCGTTTATGCAAGAACGGAGCCGTTTCGCTATTTATAACGAGAACGGTGTATTCATTGAACGTTGCATTCTCATTACCCTACAATGCCAGGGTTATATTTAGCATATATACAATGTAACTGGAATAATAGCATACCATTCGCGTTACTAAGGCGTATGGAAATTTTCTGAATGGTACAGGTGGCAATGTTATAGGTCGTAAGATTACTCGTTTAATTCAAGTAACAAAACATGCTACTTTTGACTATAATGATCAATGTTTCATGATTAAATTTGAAAATTAATTGATCGTATTCTTAATAGAGTTCCTACGTGTCTTACAACCAACAACCATATCCACAGTATTCGGAGTTACCCTGCTGTTTTCGTTTCTTAATTATTTAACCGAATTAAAATTCGTAGCAGGAAACGTGTTAAGACTTGCCGTCAAACGCACGTGTTCCATAGAATTCACGGAATTTAGAGAGCGTCTGGCCGAAAAGTTGAACTGTTATCTGTGCTGGTTCGTTAAAATAGGAATTAACGGCGGCTAATTTCCAAGCTAAAATAAACGCGTTACGGATGATCGTGAGCAAGGTGAGAAGGAAAAAGAGAGAAAATTTCGGGAGCAGAAGCGTCATACGAACGGCCGAGCCCATGGCCGTGAGTGGCTAGTCGCATAACCGCGGCAAAAGAGCCCCGCCAGAGCTGAAATTATTGCGTTTTCTTGGACCCAGTCCAAACACCAACAACTAAAAGCCCGTCTGATTATTGCAACACATTCTATACTGGCCTACATCGATATGACAATGATACGCGGAACCGTCAATCCTCTCCCTATACCCTCGACAACTTCCTCGTTCTTCGAATACGTTCTTAAGTGTCCACGCGAAGGTAATGAACAAATATACGTTTGGAAATAGACGAGACGAAATCGAGTAAACCGCGTGATTGATCAGCTTTAACAATGACCTTCTATCACTGTACCAATGGTCGGTCGCGTTTGTAAAACAACGCATCATGGGAGCAAGTTAAACTGCACACACGTGGTTGCAATTCCAACAAGTATCAGGATAATCCTGTCCGGGGTTACGTTGAAAGTAATCTTAAGTTAGCCGTAAACACGCGACCTCTCTCGATTAGCCGTATAATTCAAGGTCGTGCGTTGTGCGCAACTCGCGGTCGAACTAGAGAAACTAACAATAACAACGAGCTCACGAATCCCTTTTTGTGTTTCCACGTAACATTGACGAACAGAACGTGCACCCTATACAGATTACGCGTTTTCCACCCGATACGTGGAAAAAAAAATGATCGTTCGTGTAAAAATGAATAGGTTCGATGTCGAACGAGAAAGATTAAAGAGGCATGCAACTGACAGCCAGATGACAGCTGACCGAGTGACCCGTACGTAACCGCCCCTCCCACGCCTCGACGATTCGAGGATTTAACTCCCAGAATCGACGAGTTTCAGAGGGTTAGGCTTTTGTTTCGATATAGAATACGAGAGCTTACCACCTTGCTTACGAACTGGCATTCTGCTTGCTGTTCAATAAATCCTGGTACAGCTACGTCGAGACACAATGTTGTAACGAGCAAAGGGGTTGACACGACGGGAAAGAGAGAGATAGCGTGAACACACGACACACACTAGTTCACGGAGAAGGGAGAAGAAACGGAAAAGAGTAGCACAAAAGCACGTAGTGTCACTCCACGATACTACACGAACGCGCACTATTTGTCATGCGAATCGGCGACCTGTTTCACGGCTGGCGTAGACAGACTCGTACACGACTCGACACGTCACTCGCGAAACCTCCCGGTGGCCCGTCGAAACGTGGTAAAACGAAACGGATATAAACACAGACCGCCACCACTCGGCCACGGGCAATATGGCGTCGCGCTTACTCTAGCAGCCGGAAAACTGACTAGCCGCGAGGAACGCCACCTCCGATTGGTCGATCGCACCATGCGTGACGTCAGATCTCCTTGTAACGCGCTCCCCTGTGAAACCAACCCCTTACGAACACACACGAATACACACGAGATACACCTACTCGACTTTTACGATGTATCGACAAAATTTTGAATGATGCTTGACACGAACACTTCTATTAGAATCATGAAACGGAAAGAATATAACTTTTAGGTCGATTTAAGAGACGCGTTACTTTATTATTGATAAAAATCATATTTGAATATCGACGGCATGTTTCAAATTAACTTTAGCGCACTTTCCTAAGCTCCCGCTATGTGTCGCGATCGGTCAAGATTTTGAGCAGTGCCATCTAATGGCAAGAATTAAAATATAGCTCTTAAAGAGATACGGTGTTCAGGTCATCAGGTGTAGTGTTAAAAAATGTAGAATTATTATTTAAAATATTTATAACTGGAATAAAAGAGAAAACTATATAATACGTTTAATATTAACGATCGAAGAGATAAAAGTTTGTATAAGAAACACTGAAGTACTGTAACATTTTTGTATTGCGTTCTATTTCTTGTTTTAAATAAAAAATTTTACCTCTGGATAAAATTTGCATACATAAATTGTTCAAATGATTGTAAATTAAGTACATATAATATTATAGTTATAGCTTTTAATATTCTATTAGTATAACAAATCCCATACGTACGTGTAGTTTTAACTCTAAAATAAGATTTAGAAAATTTTACAATGGCACTCGTGCCTGGAAGGAAAGATACTTTTATAGATCAAAATGTAAAAGATGGTTTAAATTTATCGCAAATGGAAGCTATCGAAGTTCAAAAGAAATTAATTGATGAATGGGAACCTAAAAATGAAGTGTATGTAACCTCTTTTAGTGTTATATCGATATCGTACATATGTACAAATGAATGTAATAAACAAACAATTTTACACTGATAGTATTAACATAATTTTTTTTTTTAAGAATGGCATTACAATATGGAAGTTTCATTGTAGGAACAACAAGTTCTGTGTCTGCACAAATGATTAACAGTATATTTAGACGTAAATTAAAGTTACGTTCTACTGGGCAATTTATAACATCATTCGGTTTAATGATAGCATCAGGAGGAATGGCATTAATAGGGCACGAATTAGTATGTTAATTTGGAAATTCTATTCTTTTATAATAGAAACTAATATTATAACAACATTATATACAAAATAATTTTACAATTACTGTTTTTAGTTGATTACAAATGACATATTATTATACAAAAACCAGTGTCCAGTATGTTATGAAATGAAAGCAAGTTTACTCTTGAATGGCACTGGAATATTGTATCCTTTATTGTTAGCACCATCACTAAATCTTGCGGTAAGACTATTTTATTTGTTGATATGTACTTTTATTAACTAAAGCTTGAATTATTAGCATTTCTTTTTATTCTAACATAGATTGCAGGAAGTGTGGGATTAAGAACTCCACACATATATGAAGTAAAACAGGTTGTTGGATTTTGGTGGAATGTTGTTAAACCTGCAATTAACCACATCTCACTTGCATTTTGTATAAATTCAGTTATTGCTAGTTTAGTTGTTTATAAGCAACATGGACAAATGAACAACATAGCAAACATTTTAAAACGAATTGAAGAAAAACAAAGTGAAAACAGTTTAACATAAAGGTACATTTAAACATCTTAATGTAGTACATTTTATGTATATACATTTATATATGTAGTCTAATACACATTTGTACATGTATTGATATATAAGGAAAATAAATGCTCTTACATAAAAAATGTAATTTCTATGTAATGTATATTGTTATGTACATTATAAGTGCTTAATTATACATTACACATTGGAGATATAAGTACTAAAAGATCTGTTCAAGTTTTTTACAAATAAAAATATAAAAAAAATATTTACATAAAAAATCATGTTATTAAATATAATCTCATTTAATATATAACACTTTTTATTAATAATTTTTGTTATTAACATAAATAACTGAATTAGTATTGTTTGTAGTTACTGTATTAATCTAGAAAAAAAAAGAAAAAAAATGAAAATAGCTAATAATATCGACTCATTAGTGATAATAAAACGTAGATTTTTGTCTAAATACATTATTACAAATAAAACAGCAGTTATATTTGTAAATAATTTTGAGCAGAATATGTAAATAGAAACATTAACATCACAGTTAAAGTCAATGTAATAAGTACAACATATATTTCTTTAATGTTAACGAAAAAAAAAAAAGTTAAACAATAAAAATTTATTGAAAGTAAGGTAAATAAACAATACTAATTTGTAAATAAAGATATTTAGTACAATTATATTCATAAAGAACTCGAAATCGTTCGAAAATTTTTGAGAATGTTTAAACTGAAACAGAATATAATCTTAGTTGTGTTTAACATTTCAGTTGAAAGTAATAATTCTGAAAAAATAGCGCCACTGTGCCCTAGGATTTAATATCTTTATTAACAAACATATTTCATTATAAAGGAGATAAAGATGAAACACAGAAAATATAATAGGCACCACTACAAATGGTAAGAAATTGTGTTGTACTATTGCTAATGTTATTTTTCTTTTTGCATAGTATAATCTAAGGTTTTGTAGAGGAAGACACTTTTTATAATGATAATATATTAACAAAAAGAAAAATTCTACAAAATTCCCTGAAAATATAGGACAGTTTTGTATACATAATATGGCCTGAAAACTAACATATGTAATATATGCTTGTATAAATGAAAAGTGATTAGGTTTTATCATAATGAATGATCGCTGACTGGCCATTATATTATGATATTGATTATTAACATATTGCAAACAATAATTAAATGTGTATGTATTTTGACAACAAATGTTGCCAGATATTTGGCAAAGGGGGGGCCCTTGAATAGGACCCCTAGGCAGTTGCTAGCATCTTCGACTATACCAACGTGTCATATAGTCCTGATAACTTACAGTCACTTTCTCACTCTGGTACCTAGTTAGCTTCAGACTACGCCTAATATCTGGTGTGACTAATCCCTTGTAGCCACCTTTATGTAGTAGGGAGTCTATTGTTTGAATCTGGTTCCATCCTAAACATAACAAATTCTATCTTCAAAAAGTATTTGCAACTGTCATTAAGATTATAAGTATTTTAACATTAAAGAACAATGTTCATAATATATTGATTCTTAAATCCAAGCAATAGTATACACTTCTGAAACTGAAATACAAACCTTGTTCTATTGCTACATCTGGTAAATATGTAGCAGTTCGTTTATTCCCCTTTTCATTATGAAATTCTATGCGAATTCCATGGACTCCTACCACCCAATCTAAGTAATCTGTTCCATCTTCAAAGTGTCGAAGTATAGAAACACTAACATGTAAACGTGGAAGTTCTTCCAGTGTTATTGGATTAAATCTTGAATCCTTGAAAGCACTGTGAGAAACAATACATTTAAAACTACCCAAAAGATGCTATAATTTTCAATACTTATGTATTGAATACCTAGTGGTAGCATATTCTCGTAATCCTGCATGTAAATGCATTGCATTAAATGTACCAATGCAGCCTCGTAATCTCATATCTTTGCCAATAGTCCATGTTACAAATAATGGGCTTCAAAGTTGAATATAAATATTACATTAGCATATAATTAATACAACAGTAATTTCATTATATATCACAAAAAATCATTGAAAAATTTCAACTTTTCAATTACTTTAAGATAACAAATTACTAAAAATCAAAAAATATCAAAATAAATGAATGCATACATTATACTACTCTTTTTTGCAATTACAGATATAACAAAGTATAATTAAATAAAGCTATATATATATATATATGTGTATGTGTTTTTGGCTAGGAAACTATTGTTTTTATTTAGTATCCTGACACACAGCTAAACATACATATATATAAAAATATTTGAAATAGTATAATTGATCTAAAAAGTCCAAGGTTTGTATGGGATATTGCAAAGAAAAATTATTATAATTATTTTAAACAATAAATATGAAATGTAAACATATACTTCTGATAAAATACGCTGCAAAAATATGTAAGAACCACAAAATATATTGAAATTTCTGTTTCAAACACTGCGTTGCGATAATTTATGGAAGCCAAGAATTGAATCATTCAAAGGTTACAAGAATAGAGTATAGAACATAATGGAATATAGAGTGATACCAATGAAATATACTCACAATGCTTCGTTGCTGAAGTTGGGTGGTTTTGGTGGATCAAGTTGGTGCAATTGGCAGTAAAGGACATCGAAACAATAAAAGCCCATCTCAGGTTGAACTATTATAGAGTTCCGCATATGAATACCATTTTGTAAACTTACGATATTATTACGCGGAACACTTGATGAATCATTCAATTTTTGCTTTTTCGTTCCACAACACCCAGCTGCCATATCTTCTTACTTAACTCTTTCAACTACCATGGACACGATCGTTTTCCGAATCATACATCTCGCTCATCCGTTGCTACTGGATGCTAAGTTATGCACGCGTTCCGCTAGGGGTCTCACCGTTAGCGGAAAATTGGCGAGCATATTTGTAGTGCGGGACGTTATGTTTAAGAAAATAATCATTTTTCTTTCGAAAAGTAAGCGTTTTTTGCATTTTATTGGTGTGAATAGAATATTGTACAACCACTATGCTGTATGTAATTCAAATAATAACATCACAGTTCGCTTAAAGATAAAATTGTAACATTTGCGCTTTTTTAGATTTCGCTATGCTTACTCCTGAAGTTATCACGGAAGCCGAAGAACCCTAGATGGTGCTGGCGATGCTATTTTTGAAACGTAAAATGGTATAAAATCTGATGTTTCATTCTTATTCAGTATTATATTCTATTCAATTACATATGTATGCACAGTATCGAGCAAGGTAGGCTTCCACGAGTTCCTCCGTTTCCGGGTTCTTGACCTTCGTCATAGGCCTTCCCTTCCCCAAGTTCCGGTGTTCCTGGCCTTTGCCATAGACCACCCCTTCCTCGGATTCCGAGTTACGTAAGTATAAACGTATACGCGGGGAAAGCTTTAAAGCTTTTACGCTTTTACATTTCATAGCAATTCATTTATTACTTTTGGTAGTTTTAATATCAAACTTATTTACATTCCATACACATTGTCACAAATTAAGCACGCGTTTCATTACTTCAATAACAAATACTCTAGATTTTACTACATAACTGGCAGTTTATTGGACGTTATAAGATATTCGGTACATAATTAAGTGTCAGAAACAAAACAGATGAAACATTCTACTAGCAACAAATATTAATTATAAATTAATCAAATTTTTAATGTTTTTGTATTTTTTAATAAAGTCTCTTTGTAGCAACAAAAACAGTAATTCATGAATTGGCAGTGCACAAAGTAATTAAATAAAAATGAAATGATAAAATTGCAAAAATTTAAACTGCCTTAATATATTATATTATGCCTTGTTTCAATGAAAATAGAGCAATTAGATAAGCATTTTATACAAAGCATTAGCAATTCTATTCGTATTTTCTGAGTCACAGAATTAAAATCACAATGAGATCGTCACATTTTTACTTACAGCTATATTAAAAACTATTATGAATGCATTTTAATAGTCATAATGCAGTCCATTGTTTATTTACATTAGAGGTCCCATTCTATAAAATCTTCATCTCATTGATACATAGGTATTAAAGAGTATTATCTACATTTTAAAAATTGAAACCTGATTATATCATAAAACAGTAGAAGGAAATATCACAAAACCAAGTATTGAAATTTGAACCGATGTTAATTTAACTTGTTTACTTACATAGTTAATTTATACATCGATATCTTTAACTGACAGAAAGAATCCTTTGTTGTAATAAAACTCTGGACTATAATATAACCATAGTTATTAAATTTCAATGTAGCAATGGTATTAAAAAAATGAAATATAATATAAAAATAATCATTCACCTATCAAATTTTAAACTATATTACAAATTTCCTATTTTGATAGATTTCAATGTTTCAATATCACACAAATAATCATTTAAAGGTAATATAACAAAAATCATTTATTTATACCATTAGTACAAAGAAATTTTAATTAGTGAATTTAATGCATGTTTGTGTGTGTATGTCTTACAAATGAATGATCATATAAAAATCAGTAATCTTAAAGTTTTAAGTAACTTCCATTAAAATATATGTTCTATTAATTATTTAATTCGTATTAATGACAATTCAAATGAAAATTTTTTTATCATTTATGGCAAATATGTGTAATAACACAAAAATTATGCTGCAAACAACTGTATGCTTTGTAAGAATTAACAGATCAGTGGAAATGCTGGCAATAGAAACTCTATATTCTTTTATCCTTCATTTATGTACATACACAGATCTAAAAATGACATTCTATGTTTGTTTTTCACGATATATGAATGATAGAAACGTATTTTCACATGAATTTGTACATTAAATCTTTTGAAGCAGGCAGTGAATTGCAGGCAGCATCACTGTGCTATGTAGTTGTTTATGTCGTTCGTATACTGCAGACATAAATATACATGTACATATGACAAGTATGATGGCAGGGTTAATTTAATTTCATTTACATCCTATTTATGGACTGAATTATGTTGTTTCACTTATGAACGTATTAAAGCATGAGAGAATGAATAATTGTATTATTATAGTACAGGATTTCGAATTTGAATAGATTAATAATTATAAATATTAAGTTCAAAGTTAATGTACTTTTCATACATGCTTTATAATTATTTATATAATTATTAACGATCAACAAGGAAACAAAACAGTGCCATCATACATCAAATTCTATTGTTCTCAAGAAGAACTTTGCGGTATCATAAAGGGAAAACTATGTATGCAAAAACATACAAAGTATAGTAGGCACCATTTCAAACAGTGAAAAATTGTAAACAATAGCCGTCTCCAATGTCATTTTCGTTTACGAATTGAATGATCGGCCGATTCTTGCGACGGAAAACGATGAACCCGAGGGGGAGGATAAAGGTGTGGATGAGGAGGAGGATAAGGTGAACCCGTCTGATCCCACCAAAATGATGAATAATCCCATATAGGTACCATAACAGGGGAAATAGGAGGTACTGGAAGAGGATGTATAAATGCAGGATGGTTACGTTGTGTCATTACTACTCCGTGTTCTTGACTGGCCATATAAGAACTGTATTGAGAACTATTATATAGTAAATGAGAAGTATGAGAGGTGTTAGGACTATAGTGAACTGCAATAGAATTCTGTGATAATTGGGGTCCTTGGCTAGGGCCCCAAGCCAGCTGCTAGCACCTCCGGCTATGCCAATGTGTCATATAGTCCTGATAGCTTACAGTAATTTTCTCACTCTGGTATCGTGTTAATTTTACACTACGTCTAATGTCTGGGGTAACATGTCCTTTGTAACCCCCTTTATGCAGCAATGAATCTATTGTTTGTATCTGGTCCCATCCTAGACACAACAGATTATAATTTATAAATTATTGTGTACATTATTACTTAGCATAATAAGATAATATACAAACCTTGTTCTGTTGCTACATCAGGTAAATAAGTAGCAGTTCTTTTATTGCCCTTTTCATTATGAAACTCTATACGAATTCCATGAACACCTACTTCCCAATCTAAATAATCAACACCATCCTCAAAGTGTCTCAAAATGGAGACACTTACATGCAAGCGTGGAAGTTCTTCTCGTGTTATAGGATTAAAACGTGAATCTTTGAATGCACTTTGAAAAGTATCTTATGTCTTTAAATATATAAAGCACTTACACTATTTAACAAAAAGTATAAACAATTTTACCTTGTTGTAGCATATTCCCTAAGACCAGCGTGTAATTGCATTGCATTAAATGTACCAATGCAACCTCTCAACCTCATGTCCTTCCCAATGGTCCACGTTACAAATAATGGACTGCAAAATGGAATTAAACAATTAATAGGTAAGCTTGTGTTTCTTCCAACAATTTGGTATTCAGTGAATGATTTTTTTATAAGGATCATTATAATATTCTTTATATATCACATAATATATATGAAATTATTAATATTTTTATTATATCTTTGATAGATACGTACATATAATAAACAATAAATAATTCAAATTTGTCTTTGTTTCATTACAAAATTTGACTGGACGGTTCAACATTGAAACAAAGAAACTTAAAGAGGGTAAAGGCAGGCGAGAATAACATTGGACAGAAAAGAGGGAGAGAAAGAGCAGCTGATGGCGCAGCCATGTAAGAGAAGGATGACGCTATATGCAAGAAAAAGATAGTAATCTGAAAAAAAGGTGCAAAAAGATATTAAAAATGTAACACAATATCGTCAACTATTATTACTTACAATGCTTCGTTACTGAAGTTAGGTGATTTTGGAGGGTCAAGTTGATGTAACTGACAATAGAGGACATCGAAGCAAAAGAATCCCATTTCGGGCTTCACAATCACACCGTTTCTTAAATGCGTGCCATTTTGCAGTACCGATCCGTTGCAAGGAACACTCGACGAATTGTTCAGCTTTTGCTTTTTCGTTCCACAACAACCTGCAGCCATGTTTCGTTAGTTGATTCCTTCGACGGACGCGGCTACTGCAAATACAATCGGTCCTCGACCCACACGTCTCCCATTCTTCTTTGTCGTCGCGGTCCTGATTGCGCGCGCGTTCCGTTAGATGTCCTCGTGCTCGTGAAAACAGCTGTTTCATTTTCCGCCATTTTATTGGGAGCGCCGTGTCGAACAGTCGAACTTGAAAATTGGCGGTAGTGCTTACGGTTCCTCTTATTTTTAACAAATTTTGGAGAATTTACTATTTAAAAGTGAAACGAATCACCTAAAAAAAGCATACCATTACGACGTAGAAGTGTTTGAGAAGTTTGACAACATCATACGACAAAAGCATCATGTACAACTTCAAAGGTATAGCATTTTACGAAAATGGATCGTACAATTTGAAGATTTATGTAACATTCAGAATGTTTAATCTCCTAGAATGATTACTTATGTCTTTATTTTGTACATAACAGCATTTGATGTACGGCTATTCCATAAGTTTAATAACGAATGCTGTTACGTGTTTAACAGGTACTTAAGCCTCTGTATTGCTTCATGTATTGAAATCGTATACGATAATACATATAACGAACAGTTCGGACAGAGTGATTCAAGTGAACGTAAGAAACAACAGCAAATATACAATATTACTCGAGGAAACTATGCCGAGGGCACCGACTTTTCTAACCCCTTACCTGGCACCTGCTCACGATGCACCGGAGAAGCCCGAGGCGTGACAGCAGATTCAACCTGGCAACGTGCACTTGCTTGTAGCTGTCCGGTACATTGCCAAGTGGCTGTATTTTTTCTGACAGCTGACATCGTGTACTCGTGCTTTATGGTATAACGGTTATAACATTTGTGCTAAACGCGTTAGTGAAATTACAAAGTATCTTGTTTTCACCTTTGGATATACATTTTTGTAGTAAACAAAGCGATCAGGCTACGACTTGGAAACCGGCTGCTGATTACATCCACGGCGTCAAGTGAAGCGATGCGTGCAAACAATAACATTCCCGTCAACTTGTTATTAAATCGTTGCTCCGAAGCATAAGGTGACACGAAACAAGGGATTTGTTGTGGATTTCTAACCAGTCGAGTTTCGATCGAGGGAAGTGTCGAAGACAAATGAGCATGGAGCAGGAATTTTAAGTGATTTTTATGAAGATACACTCTCGGCTGACAAACGGAACGTGGTACGACGAAAGGATGAAGAAGGACCATTCAACGCTGCCGATGGAATTAATATAGGTGAGTGTTTTGTATTTACTTCGTACTCACGTGTGCATGCGACGCGTTACGTGATTCGAATCTCGATCACCACGGTTATTTCCAATCTCGTCTATTTCACGGATACACGCATGCAGAGTTTGCATTTATTGCATGCAATTTACACGGCGAGTTATATAAAATGTGTCATAATACGTCGAACGACTAAGTGTGAGTCACATTTACGCAATCTTACGTGGCGCTCTAGTCAGATTGTTTCAAACAGATAGAAAACCGCGAACGGATATTTGATAAATGAGAAATTCGAAAGTGCTAACTGTATTAAGCAATCGATGAAAACCGTGTTTCTTATCGCACTTGATTATCTTATTTAACGCGTTCACTGCTACCGTGATAATAGTTCATTTTCAATTTTCCACCTTACGCTATTAATATAGAAATAATCGATAATGGATAATAGGTGGAAATAAATTATAAACAGGTTTCAAATCGTACAGAAAATCATTTTTGCTCCATCCTGCCACCAGAAGAGTGAACGTGTTAATTTCTATTTTCAAGTTTTTGATGAACCAAGTGAAACACGTTTTAAAGCGAATGATAAATTTACACGTTGCTCATCGCGTGTTTCTTAATTTGTATAAATTTTTCACTCAACTGTTCTTACGTTTTCTCATAGCGAATCATGCTATGCTTCGTGATACTTATCGCTCAGTAACAGGCATCACTGACATCGCCATCGCACGTTCTATATTTTTATCCGTAAATTATCCACGCTTCCGTGGCGTCAACATGTAACTTAAGAAACATCAACTTAATTACGATAATCAGAGTACGATGTTCGATTTGATGATCTAGAATCACGCAAGTGCATAATATTTATTACCGATCGGTTGATATGTTAATGAGAACCGGTTGATAACGGGGTTGCGTTTATGAAAGTTTATCATCGTCTTTCGAGAAGCAATTCATTTCAGCAATCTTTCTAACGTCGTGGAAAATTTAGAGCTAGATTAACACTGGCCAGGTATTTCATTCGGACACACGAAATGCATTTACCATGGTTTAACGTAGTTTCGGTTGATGTTGATACTGCACTTGTATGCATACCGCAGACGCGGTTTCACCATTTAGGCTATCAAACAAAAGTTACGCCAGCAAGGTATTCGCAAACCGACCGAAAGTATACGAACTAGTTTTTGACGAGGAAAAAATGTGTCAAAACTATTGCATGTTTATTTGAAAATATATACACTGCCGTCCATAAGTCATCGGACACTATAAAACAGAATACTCTTTTTAAAATTGGCGTAAATGACTTGAGGACGAATTATAATTTTTTGAAACGACAAAAGCATACATCTTAGTAAATTAATTTGTATAGCTTCTCGAGAAATCTCAAGTTATTCGGTCCAATTTTAAAAAGAGTATTCTGTTTTAAAGAGTGCCCGGTGACTTATGGACGACAGTGTACGTATCTTTTGTATCGGACAAGCGAAAGGGTCGAAATGAAGCTTTAGCTACACTATTCACTGTAGATGAATAAGTATGGAGGGAATCGAAGGTTACACGTGATGTAACCATCGGATAATTAGCTGTTCCACGTAAGAAAATCGCATTCTTGCGGGCGATTTGAATTTACAGAAGGTGCGAAGGTGTACGTGGTAATGTTTGAACAATGCTTTTCCCGTGTCATTCTTTTCAACGATTGCGATAAGCTTGTATCCATCTCCTCCCGTGTCTCTGTACTATTTTTAACGCGATTGTAAACTCAGACAAGAAGCTGGAAAAAATTTTTTCAGCTACGACACTTCTGCTTGATACGAATAATTGCGTAACAATGTCAAAAGCACCTTTATTTAGAATCTTTTTGTCTACCTTGAATCTCCTAATTAGTCAAGGTGTGGTTTTGCTTCGAACTCGCTCGGTTTGACCCTGACCTTCTTCGCACGAAAAACAAGTACATTATAAAATCCAAAGGTATGCGATATACCGTTTGTTCGCGGCTCGAAGTACGAAAGAAAGTATCACTGGAGAATTTTTTCAACAGAGATCACCTCTTCAGTGGTATAATTTATACAAAGTTGGTACACCAAAATGTATCAGATAAGATTTTAGGTGGGAAAGAATTAAATAATGTTAGGTGGGTGGGTTAGTATTGGGATTATACTTTGATGAAGTTGAGGAAAAATGAAAATGTATTTCGATGAGCAACACGGTGAAGGTATGCAAGGTCGGAATTCACGCGATGTGACTCGGGAATTTCTTCAGGGTACTTAGCCGTTGGTTGCTTATCTTCCTCCGTCTTTTAAATAGTCACATGCCTATTGGGAAATCCTCGCCTTGAGGAGCTACTACTTGCCTTGTCGTTGAATGAATTCCCATGCGTTTATCCCTTCCCCTTTTAAATACGTTTTAATGCAAAATTATATCCAGTGGTGAATGCTATTATCATTGAATTGTTCATGGTTAAAATTTCTTATTAGTTAATTAGTATTTGCCTAAATAAAATTCGCAGAGTCATTCTGTTGATTCTGATACGGCAATTAACGCGTTTTCTTATGATTCCCCGTGCTCACTGTTTTTCATCGACACAGAATTAATCCGGAACGAGTTGGCGACGGTGATTGACAGCTTTGATAACATTATTAAATATCTCCTAGGATTTCCTGTAATTGTTTACAGGAAAGGAAATATATTAAAGATATTTACGTTGATGCAAAGCGAATAGATTTCTTTGAGCATTCTAATGCTGATGTTCGATAGATCAACACGTTTTCCTCGAAATTACCGATTCGGATTAATAAATATTTCGTTACTACTGTCTGAGGGAGGTTGTTGAACTTTTAACCCGGATTAAAATAGCAGAATCAAACTGTCAATTTGCATTTATTGGAATATTGGCTTTACCGTGACTGTTTGATCGTATTTTTAGTTTCTATGTAGTTTCAGATTCAATTGAGTTCTATAAAAACTTATAAGTACATTTATTTGATTCTCAACTGATAGGAAATACCGTCGTGCAAAAATAACAGAATCTGTAGATTTCAATAAAAAAAAACAGAAAAAAAAAACGACAAGTACATTATGACTACACTGTGTATGTTTATGCAAATATATACAAGTTATTCCATTTTTTATAGAATGCTATAAATGCATAAACATCCGTAGTCTAACAATGACTACAGCTACCATTTATGACTAGAGATTACAATAATATCGCAATTCTAATACTTCATCTAAATTACTAATCTAACGTTAAAATCCTACATCGCTAGTGTTGTACTTATTCTATTTATACATCTTTGAACGATGTTCAGTTTTATAAACTTTCACTGTTTCACTTTTTCGAAACTGTTCTCATGTAAAAGCATCTCGTTCAAAGTTTATAAATATTAACAATATTGAGAGTTTTGATTGCTTTCGTTGCTCGGTATGTTACAATTAATAGTATTCAATCCTTTGATTGTAGACCGTGCCGAAAAGGAAAATATTCTTAACTTTGTAACCAGTTTTCTCGATGATCAACGATTGGTATCGATGATACCGGGCGCCAATAAAAACGCGAGAAAAACAATTGATACTGAACTGTACCAACTCATTCCTACGACTATGTTCGATGCCGAAGAATTCGCGTGTTCTATCTTTTCCGATTTGTTCAATTTCTCTCCGGGATGGCAACGATACTCGTCGTCTTTTGGTATCACGTCTTTTACGATGCCGAGGAACTGGTCGAACGGGCATAATTCCGCGCAGCCAGGGATCGTTTGGATTATAAGTTGCTCGGAAACTCCGGTCCAGAGTAGAGCCTGGCGAGAAAGTTGAATTTTCAACATAATTTTTGAACATGTGCTTCGTACCTCGAATACGATGTTTCATTTCTAAATGAAATATTTACTCGAACGTAGTAGGTTCCTTTCTTGTCTCGCAGAGTTTCCAGGATTACGGTAGCTCCATAGGCAGGTATTGCCGGTTCGTCCAGGTCCAAGGCTCTCACAACTGCGGCAACGTTCATTTCATGAGCCGAGAATAGAAACGCCTTCGTATCGTACGGTTCCAATTTTCCTTGCTGATACGTTTTGATGTCTTCTATCATCTTTCGTAGCAGCAAGCCTGAAGTAAATATGACGAAGATCGTTAGATGTAACATCAATCAAACCTACAGTATTTCTTATCAGTTCACGTGATTATCCTCCTTGTACCTCCATTCAAACGTTTCAACGTCCTTGTGTACGATCTGAGTTTGAAATCCAACGCTATTATTTCCTTCATCGGAGTAGGATAAACCGTCTCCGTCCATTTTGGAAGGCTCAGGTTTTGAGCAGCCTGCCATTAGATTGATCATTAGACCGATACAAATTAGATAGATTTAATTAGATAGAATCATTCATACCTGCTCCTTCAACAAATTGTACATGTAAGTCACCGAGGATGTTGTGTTTATCGTTTTTCCACTGTGCTTTGACAAATAACTCATGACATTTTTGTATTTGCTCACTAATTCTTGCGTGTTCTTTTGTCGAAGGAATTTATCGTATTCTTCTCTGTACCTTTAATTATTATAGACGAATATAATTAATTTTAAGAACATCGAGTTAGAGCCTTGTACGAACAACCATGTACTTGGCTACCAATTTCTATGTTCCCTTTAATAATATTTTATATTCTTGTGAAGATATCAGAAAATCTTGAATATTGGAGCTTCAGTGGGTAGCAGAGTACCGGGTTGTCTATGTAAGGGTTAATGAACAAACACACCGAAAGAATTACCTAGGGCAATGATGTGGAAATAAGAGATTATCAGCCTCATAGGGTACGAAGAACGAGGAGGTGGGAATCCAGGGTAGATGGGGATTCCAGGTTTGCTTCTGCGAGGGCGGGAATAATCCAGCCAGAACTAGTTGTAGGGACAGCTGAGTCCTTGGGATGTACGTTGATCGAGCATAGATCTTCTCCGGCCAATAATCCGGCCCGAAATATTGATCGTAACGTTCACGAAGCATTGTCCCGATCCTGTATTCGCGTAGCTTACCCTGCTGCATAATTGCACGAAACAATTACCATTTGTATTTGTCGATACATGCATCGTTCACAGAATAACAGAATACTTGATGGTCTTCCCCTTTCCGTGCATTAAGAAGCATTAGATTGTTGCATTTCAAATGATAGAATGTGGAACGTAAAATTTAGTAAGATTAGAATATCACCTATGTTAATTTCGCGTTTTTGTAGCTCCTGAGAATTTCCTGAATAAATTCGTCATTTCATTATTGACAGAAATCGTTAAGTTAAGAAACGTTATTTAATTATGTAGATATTGAAGAAGGAATTATGTAAGATTCAAATTTGAAAAATCAACTATATGCAAATTTCCAAAGGTTCCTCGAAATTTGCGCATTTATTAATAGAACCTCATCACTTTTCAACTTACGTTTGTTAAATCCCCGCTGCCCATTGGATAGTAGGAATAGTCCCGGTACGGATCGTTGGGATAATTCTGGTACTCCCGATGAGGCACTTTATCACCGTGTCGAAATACCTTCAAAAAACACGTGCGACCATTAATTTCTGATACCACGAGTATCGTCGATAATGACTCGGCAACATCACAAATAATTTTAGGCGACATCATTCACTTTCACCGCTTTCATATTTATAAAAATGAAAGTTACTTCTGCTTGACGAACGAAAATCGTCGTTCTTAAGAAGAAACGTTGAGATTTACCACGTGTAACAATTGTAACTCCAAATCACAGTTGACCATGGCGACGGTGATGAAGAGCATGGTGATAATCATCATGCGACGATCGAACAATGACATTTTCTTCGTTTTTCGACACTGATCCGGTGACGATGCAAAGCACGACACGGTGTACGTCCAGAATGTACAATTTCTTCGCACGATCTACGAAGATCCTTATATTCCTGACGGTGCTTAACTGATACAACTCGTTGAGTGGGGGTGGATAAGGAACACAGGCGAACAGGTTTGCAGTTCTCTCGATTTTTATCGCCGCTTCCCCGTTTTTGCTCGTTACGTTGATCCTTTTCCTGCTGCCAAGTGGCGATCGTAGTGTTACTCGAAGGCCGCGTACTGATAGAATGGGTTATCCCCGGTTTCGGTGGCTCAGGTTCAACATCATATCCCCGTGAAAGCCGTGTTTAATCGTTAAACAAAGATCCGTGGATCGCCTTGAAAATGCCCTGTTATGTTGCTCGTTTAGCTCGCCACACTCGAATCTCATATGGGACCATGCTATCCATTGCTTAATTTAGCCTCTCTTCAAAATAAAATGAAAGTGGAGAAAGTTGGTGCAAAGTGTGTTTGTATTTCAATCATTTATTGGACATCAGGTAAACATCTATACAACGGTATTCGTATTATTTTAAGAGATTTTGCTTAGATCACGATACTCTACCTAATGTAATAAAAATGATAGAGAACAGATTTTTTTTTTTCTGTCATGACTCAACGTAGTTGATTAGAGTATACGCAATCGCCTTAATTGATGGTCCAATTAAGAAATTTGCATCGACGTGTAATCTATCGTGTTGACATAATAATGAGCTTCATATACGGATACAGGAAATCGTGAGATAAATTAAGGAGAAGATTCGATTGATCAAAATTCATTGGGAAGCAAGCCCTGAAGCGCTTTTATCGTTTCATTTATTCTTACTGAAGAACTTTGATTAGAATCCTCGCGTTCTTCTTGAAATCCCGTTCGACGTAAAATAGCCGGAATTTACGAGGAAAATCTTTACCTGAAATACGATTTCTCGTAACAGGTACTTACGTGGCGCTTACAGAGGACGGGAATCTTATTTTACAAATTACTTTATCAGACATAATTCGTACGGGTATTTCCTCGTTACACAACGATCGACTTCGATTTCTGCTAATACTGTTTCTTTGAATAAAAAGAAAAAACAGATAAATTACCTGATGTCCTTAGACTCCAAACGAGTTACAGTTTTGTAAGTTTTCAATATTAAGAGCGAATATTTATCTGTTTGTGACGTCTATCGAGAATAACTTGATTGTTATCAGTTACATTTATTCATGTGGTGGTACATTGTCCTTTCGCCTTGTCACGTTTACACTTATGTGTTAGATACCTATTCAATTAACAATGCATACTCCTTTAAAATATGCAACTTTCTTTATCGCATATCCGAGTCAAGAACTTGAAATATTGATGCAGTTAGATAAATTGCAAACATTCAAAGGATACAATACTACTCTACATCAAAGATAGCAGATTATAAATTATGATCTTTAGCAGGTATCATTAATTATATTCACGGTATTGTTGTATTTCAATTCCATCTGCTGTCAGACGAAGTTTCTTATTCAGCACTCCTGTCACATTTGATTTTTTCCTTTACCATTTCGTTCGCAGAAATATTTTGATGTTTAGGTGCGCAGTTATGCGGCACACTAAAAATTGCGGTGAAACATTTCGCTTTGTTTCCAGGCGATAACGGGCGGACATAAAGGTGTAACTTTATGCATGATAAATTGTCTTGTAGGTAAAAAAATGTAGTTGCAATTTACACATTGTCGCACTTTGTACGTGTTAGTCGAAAAAAGTGACGGTATGATACGTGTATGATGAATGAGCTACGTATAACCGACTGTAACGCAAGGTGTAATGATGTTTGCTTTGTTAATTATATAGCCGTTAGTTATTTCTTTCCTTGTAATGACTTCTGCGAAATAGAACGTGCAAAGTTCCTGATAGTGCCTGCGAACGCGAAGGATTTTTCAACCTTTTAACGAGACTTCTTGTGTTTTTTTTTTTTTAAATAGAATATGATGAAATAAGTGAAACGAAAACATCATAAAGTCATTATACATTCATAGTTTTTTTGAAATCTTTCAATATAGGCATTTAAGTTAAATTATCGTTATTAAAAGTGATCGAGGAATGAAGACAGAATTATTCAACTTATTTCGAAACAGTTCAATTCCTGTTCACCCGGTAATGAATTGCTTCATTTAACCGGAGTTATTTACCAGGTATATAAATAACATTATAACACCGTTCGACATGGAAATGTTAACTGTTTACAACTTGTTTTAAATGTAATTCGTTCTATATCTTTCACTTTTCATAAAGTTCTATGAAAATATTTCGAAGTCAACACAGTCACTCGAGAGAGAGAGGAAAATAGTGGGGGAGAGGAATGTGTGAAACGACCCATAGTTGTACGTTCAAAAATTCAAAAATTGCATGAAAATATTCTTTTTGGAGCAGTTCAATTTAAAAACAGGTGACGGTGACTAACGTTTGCATTTGTATCATCATTGTTCGCCATTTGTATCACAATGTTAACACCTTGACTGTCGCGTCATCTACGCGTGGGTGATACCTGAATTTCCATAGGAATCCATCGCCTGTTGTATTACGAATTCATTTACTTACCTTATTACGAATACTTATACCCTCGAGTGCCGAGGGTATAATCTCGGCACCTGTTTATTACAATTCAACAATCTGAAGAAAATTCTTAGTAGCATTAACATTAAATTGGAAAATAAAACGATGGTAATTTGAGTGATTACAATTATACCGTGTCATTCTATATACGTTTCTTTGCTGTATTAATATGGAACAAGAAACGTCATAGAATTATGAATAAAAAACAGATAATACAACGAACCGTCATAGGTAGATCCGTGGGTGTGTCGCGGATAAAGTTGGTTGATACACGCCTCTGTTTTACAATGAATACGTATGTTAAGATGTTTAGAAGATGAAAAAAAAAAAAAAATAGAGAAGTAAACCGGTCTCGAAAGACCATAACTTTTATCAACTATACTCACTGTTCTTAATGAACGTGTAAAGAAGATCCTCCCCGTTACGAGAGTCAATATTGTCCGCTTCGTTTTGCACAGCAAATCCTTAGTGAAAAGGTTTCATAAAATTTCATAGAAAGTAAATAACGACGCGATGTATTAAAAGTGAACCTCGACATTTCTATTTGCGATCACGAGTGTATGCGCTCTTGCTGTTTTATGTATCTCGAAACGTTGCAAGATTATTGCAAAATTTATGAAGCCTTCGCGAAAAGGTGAAAAGATTGTTAATGGAGTTTCTTTCGTGCTCCTTTTTATGCGGTATATAAATTAAACGAGACGAATCGCAAATAATGTTAATGGCGGTCCTTTTTAAACGGCACGAATGAAACTGATAAGAATTTAGACTTTCAATAGGCGAGAAATACGTAGAATTGCTCAGGTTTTCTTTTTCTTATACAAAGTGGAAGTATTTATTCTGTAAATGTTTTGTTACAAAGTTACAAGGAAGGTTAACAATAACTTCAATTAAAATTCTTAGGAACTTCGCAGTTTAATTAATATATACTTCAGCGATGTCGAGCTTGTATTCATATTTCCTTGCGATGTTAACTATAAGCAACATAAACAAGATAAACAAAGTTAACCTTTCGTATATCACGATGGAAAATCCGTTGTTATCTATTTCACGCGTGCGATATTCGCTTTTACTTTGTAACAAAATATTTATAGCTAACCTTTGTATAACATTTTCCTTTTATTTTTAACTATGGGATATACCCTCGCGTTTTGCCGAGAAAAACCTGAGACTTCTACATATTTCTATAAATTAAAACTGCAGCGCTAAAGCTAAATTTAGTTTAGGGGGGTAATCAAATATAACACCAAATTGCAAATTATTAATTGGTAATCCAACTGAGTTAATACGTTGATTATAACAAAAATTTATTTTGGAAGTTTTTATTCTTTTCCTCGAAATTTTAGTAATTATCGTATGCATCGTACACATATAATCAATATTTCAAGAGATTCGATCATTCATCCATCATTCTTCTTTATGTTCAAGTTCTCGGAACGCGATTAGTAATACTGTTTGTGTCGAAAATACATATTTCAAACGGCTGTCGATTCTTAACTGTGCGCGTTTGTCGATCCCGTGGTACCGATAGTCGTTGTCGTTATGCAAAAACTCCGTTAGATTGTTACTATTCTTTGTGACTCGACGATATTGGCATCCTTCGTTTTTCCTCTTTCCTTCTTTTTTTTTTTTATCAAATTCATTCCAGCGACCGGACTTTTATCCGGGACATTGTTGGACCGATGTATCGACTACTCGATTGCACGTTCAAGGCTGCGATAACCTTGAATCGAATTTTCCTATACATCTGTCTCGATATTTTCACGTATATACACCTTTCCTGAATTTCTCATTCGACTCTGTCGATTTGTTTCTTGAATTTATTCATATATTGATCACTGATCCTTGTACAACAATTATTTTCTCCACATTTTCATATCACGATACATACGTTCATTTGAAATAGATTGTTTTTATATATTTAATTGAAAAAAATAGAATCATTTAGCACGCATGTCATTAATGCGACGACCTTGCGTCTGACGGATATAAAAGTGAACGGAACAAGAGAGGAAAAATGATTCCGGATCCAAAATGTATTGCTATCTTTCAAAGCATAAAATCCTCATATATCATCCTCTTGGTTATAAGCACGGTGACAACATTATTTATAATACGATTATCACATTTATCACGCGTGGTAAATTTGAAAATTAATTTAACAGGACGAAGAAAGAATAACGTTTGTCTCGAATAAACACCTTGGATACAGGTATGCTCATTAACATCCCGTCTTCTGTACGTTACAATTACAGTGTTCGAGCCGTTTGTAATCTAGATTAGCGAGGTTTATTAATTTTCATTAGCAATTTTCTAATTCCTTATTCAGCTGGTTGCGTAATGATCCTTTAAAATTGGAGAAGGTTCGATTCGTAATCAGTCGAGTCTGTTCGCGTAGAAGGATTTTAGATTGTTGCGCGCCATTTTCGATGATTGTCAATTTTTCATTTCGATGGTTTCATTGTGTATGGATTTGAAGAATAATTGCGCTTGCGTTTCGTTCATTGGAATCATGATGCATCGGAGCATCATATTTATTGGTACTCGAATCGGTACTCAAGGATGTATGAATTTTAATCCGAGCACAGATGCATCTTCATCCAGTGGTACGGGATGCAAGTTGAAGCTTCCATTATTACGAACAGAATTAATAATGGATGCACCAGACTGCAAGGCAACAGCGTCACAAATTAGATGTGCTTCTTATCGTGAACGTACAGCCACGTGTATGTCTGTTCTACGATATGCAATCACTTACACATTAGAATTTTTAATGCGAAACAGCATTGAACGAGAAATAAATTTGCC